ATTGTAAAAGACAAAAACCCTTTCAATGGAAGTAACACTAAAAACCATTGAAAGGGATATAACTCCAGCGAAAGTTTATTTTATTGATTGTCCCAATGGAAAAAGAAATGCACAATAACCTGAGCCACCAATGTGACTGTTTAATTAAATATTGCAGTCAAAATTGCAAATGAAAATTTAACCTATGTATTGGTCGCGCTTTGGAAGGGGTTAACACCTCAATTATAATAAACACACGAAATAGAAAAAAAAGGGGGTGTGTGTGTGTGTGTGTGTGTGTGTGTGTGTGTGTGTGTGTATGTATGTATTTGCGTTATGTAAGGATAATTACGGTTTACCAATATCATGACAGTAAGTTCGATGCTTGCTTATTCCTATAGGTACTCGTGACTTATGAGAGCAAGAAGAACAGGGACCATATAGCCACCATCAACGTCTCCGTGGACAAGCTCTTCAAGGGCAACAAAGACTTCGTCTTCAACGAGTTTGGCAGACCAACATTCATCGCCAAGGGGGTGTGTAAATGCAGGTTCGGAGTGGAGCAGAACGTCAAGCTCACAGAGTCACCGATTCCCATCGAGGATTATGACTAGAGGGGTGTGATTCATGGGTGCTTCCAGAGTCACGTGGGGAGTTTGTAGGATATGTTTTGTGTGAAAACGTGACTTTAATGGGGTTTATGTTATCAGGTTTGATTGTTGTTGTACCCTTTCTTTGTCAGCGTCCGTGGTTTAGGCGTTGCCAAAGCGCTTATTAATGCCGCGGTGCCGGGTTCGATTCCAACTGCATGCGATTTTTCGCCTTGCGAATGTACAATTTGGCTAGAAAAACTGCAACAGCCAGATAATGCTGGGGTTGGTTTTGTAACGTCCTGTAAAGGATACACAACTAACTTAACACCTTGTTTGTCTGTATGGTTAGCAAGCTGCCCTACTTTCTCTCTGTCTGTCTGTCTGTCCGGCTGGCTGGCTGTCTATCTGACTCTCTGCCTGCCTGCCTGTCTGTTTATCAGGCTGGCTGGCTAGCTGACTCACTGTCTGCCTGTCTGTCTTGCTATCTGTCTGACTGCCTGCCTGTTTGGCTGTCTGACTGTCTTGATATCTGTCTGACTGCCTGCTTGTTTGGCTGTCTGTCTGTGCCTATAATATTTACTCTCTCATATTTGTGTGTATGTGTGTGTGTTATTAAAGTTGGGGAAAGAAATCTCTGACAATTCTATATAAATTAAATAAATTAGTGATATATGGATATCAATCATGGATGGAAAATCAGCTGACTACACTATTAAAACTTGATTGTGAGGCTGCAGATTTGTTGCTCTATCTTCATTTGTTGTTATATCTTCCTTTCTTCTTTCCTTTCCCCCAGTTCTGGCTGCTACGTGAATGTTTGACCAACCTGAGATTAAATATCGGATACCTCTTTCAACGTCCAAAGAAAAATTCCAAATAGGAGCAACTAATACCGGCTTCACGCTGGTCACCTTTACTTCTCAGGACTTTACCTAGTACCAATTTTGGGCTAGGTCGACCTGGAAACCTATGTGATTTCAAAAAAGTGATTCTCTTGGTGGCATTTTGTGTAACCGGATGTTAGTTGCTAGTTTTGTGGTACTGGTGCGGTTGAATGTGCTGTATCTTATTGAAACTCCGCCTAAATATGGGACGCAATTTGTTTGTCATTTTAAAGCTCCACCCCGGATGTCGTCAGGGGCCCTAATAAAACTTGTACCCGGGGGGATTTTCATTTTTTTTTTTTTTTTTAAAGTATCCAGAAACCATGAGTTGTTAACCCTTTGGCTCGGTATTATGGATATCGCAACCCTTTCGGCCTTGATTCCATGATAGGTACCGTAAATCTGGGAGAAATGTGGCTTTTCTGCTTACCCCCGGGCTTGAACCCGGACCACAAGGAGTTCGTCACCTGGTCACGATTTTCATCTGAATGGTGGCAATTTCTGTCAGTAGATTTTTTTTTCTTTTTCTGATATAAGGGAGATAATCATTCAAACAAGAAACGTACCCCACTAAGTGAGATATGCACATTTAATATTGTTAGTTCCCTTTAACCCCTCTGTATTTTACAATCTAGTTACGCTCCTTCGAAAGCCGCATATATCGCAGTCTAGCTGTAAGCCAAACCATAACATACCAACCGCTACACTGGTTTTAAATAATGTACTGGTGAATTCTCTTGAAAGGCATCCCTGCCTAGTCCAGACATGAAGTTACTTCGTAACTACCAGGGAGCGCGTCATTACAACCTAGTTTCGTCCTTTTTAGGATGAAATGTTTTGTTATTTGAAGCCTCACCCTGGCTTTTGCCAGGGCCCGCAATATAGGCAGGTCATAAATATGGCCAATTGTCTAAACGCGGTTTCTGGGACCTCTCCACGGCGATTCTCATCCACATGGTGACACTTTGTGTCATCGGGTGTTTATCGCTTGTGTGATGTTCTGGTGGGGTAGAAAGTCAGTCAGTCAAACTGCCAGAGATCTTAACATAACATTACGGTTGAACGGGACTCACCAGAATTTGTAAGTGTAGGATTATCCTCCTTGAGGTGCGATTCCTGTAGATTGCAGTCTAGGAGGGGATCAAATGTAATGTTGCTCTTTGAAAAGGTACCTTTCGATCTGTATCTCAGAGGCACTGAGGTTTAGGTCGTCGTTGCTCACTGAAACGGTTTCCATTTACAGACGTGAGGTTGTTGAACAGAGTTCCTCTCGAGTAGACGGACCTGTCAAGTAATCGTTCCTCTCAAGCAGACGTTCCTCTCGAGTAGACGGACCTGTCAAGTAAACATTCCTCTCAAGCAGACGTTCCTCTCGAGTAGACATTCCTGTCTAGTAGACATTCCTCTTGAGTAGACGTTTCTCTTGAGCAGACGTTCCTTTTAAGTAGACGTTCCTCCTAAGTAGACGTTCCTCTCGAATAATTAGTTCCCGCACTGAGCAGCGGATTCCATCAGATTAGTGAAGCGCTAATTATAATTTTGTAGGAGATGAAACTGGGTTATTCAGTACTTTCCTGTTGGTCTACTATCCAAATTGCGATTTTTAATTTCAGGATGTCAAACCGTCGGGGGGGGGGGGGGGGGGGGTAGGAGGGGTGGGGGGTGGCACATACGCACTTTATCTCCCGCAGGTACTAAAATACCATATCCAGGGAAAGTGTACTTTTGCATTTCAGGCTTAGAATTCACACTTTATATGTCTACTTGTGTGTATGTGTATGTGTGTGTGTGTGTGTGTGTCTCTCTCTCTCTTTATATATATATATATATATATATATATATATATATATATATATATATATATATATATAATAAGTGTGTGTGGGTGTGTGTTGTAATGTGTGTAGGTGTGTATCGTTAATCCACATCCAATGTTTTTTAAATTTTATTTTATTTCTTCTGCTTTCTATTATATTAACTTTAGCTTATTAGATAGTACTAATCGACGAGGACTGGTCCAAGGGAAATAACAATATCTATTTTCAAACATCTCTTTTTAGTGTGGTATTCATTTTCATGTTTATCTCCCTTATGTAAGAGTTGTTTATGTTATTCATGGTCATCAAATGCCTTCCCTACTGGCGGGAGCGATCATACCTCTACACCATCTCCCTTCTTTAACAACATGTACAAGTTGGGAGACTGACACCGTTCCTTGGGGGTCGAAGTGGTCAAGCCGTTTGCCTCGCGATCCGAAGGTCGTGGTTTCGTTTCATGGCTGCGCAGTTCATAAATCAGGGAACATCTCATCCTTTCACAGTGACATCTGGAGTAAGACAGGGGTGTGTCTCATCACCACTGCTGTTTATCACCTACATCGACAGTGTATGCAAGAATGCCAAGCCCATGAATGAAGATCTTAGTAAGATAGCAGATACAGCCATGAAATTGCAACAACATCTAACATCCATGAATGAAGAATGTAAAACAAATAATATGAGAATCAACACTGAAAAGACAGAAGTAATGTCAATAGGAAAAAAAGAAGACAGATCTAAACATAGCAATAGAATACAAAGGCATTAAACAGGCATCTGAGTTTAAATATCTGGGAAGTACATTTACCGAAGATGGGAAATTGGATAAAGAAATTGACATTAGATGCAGTAAAGCAAACCAAGTATTGGGACAGCTAGCCTCCCTCTTACAGCATAAGACAATCCCAATCAGCACAAAGAGACATCTTATTCAAAGCATATTTATTCCAACTCTGTGCTACCAGTGCCAGACATGGTCACTCACAACAAACCATAAAAGAAAATTAGTAACCACGGAAATGAGATGTCTGAGAAGGGCTGTAGGGGTGACCATAAGAGATAAGATCAGGAATGAGATCATAAGAGAACAAGTCGGCACAGAACCAATTCTGGATTACATACAAAGACAGCAAGTGAAATGGTTTGCCCACTTAGAGAGAATGCCTTGTGACACTATACCATACAAAGCATACATGGAAAGAGAAGAAGGACGTAGAGCACGGGGTAGACCGAGAACAAGATGGAAGGATAACATCAGAGAAACTCTACAACAGCACGATGTGCCTATGGTCGAGGCAGCCAGAAGCGCTAGAAACAGAACCTTAGATCTCCCTCGACACTCACAGCGGTAAACGAGGAAGTGAAGAAGAAGAAGAAGCAGTTCAGTTAACGGGTGCAATTTTTAGGGAGTTTTCTAGGGATCGTCACTGGAGCTGCGGAGTTCGCGCTTTGTGCGACACTCTTAGCAAGCGGTTAGCTGTTTTGTGGAAAAAGACAGAGCCATGTGAGATAAAACCCTGTGCTGTGATCCTCTAGACTCTCTCTCTCTCTCTCTCTCTCGTCTCTCTCTCTCTCTCGTCTCTCTCTCTCTCTCTCTCTCTTTTAAAAGCTGTCAAGAATTGTCTTGCGTTGTCGTCCTCTGTCTCTTTTACCACAGATCTTTCCACTGGTCAGAATGCCTGTGTCAGTAAGCCACATTGAACCATCGTGTCAGGAGCGACTGACTGAACGGTTAGGAACCCGGTATGTGTAGTCTGTGGCGACACCCCGAGTCATACGGCCCTAAATCATGTGGCTTAAAGACCCCACTGCCTACACCACAAAAGTAGTACAGTAAAACACGCAGTAACGGCAATATTGTGGCAGTATCTATCATGAAATGTCTTTCATGAGTGCTAATTGTCTGAAATATAATGGTTGTGGGCAGTGAATATGTCAAGTGTAACAGCTTATTAACAACATAATATGCAAGTAATAAATACGATTTCAAATCAAAGTGATTAACAGTTTATTATTATTATTATTATTATTATATTATTATTATTATTATTATTATTATTATTATTATTATTATTATTCTGCTTTCTAGTCCTCAATGGAGCATAGTCCCTCAACCAACTCACGCCAATTCGTTCTGAGTGTGTGTGTGTGTGTGTGTGTGGGGTGTGTGTGTGTGTGGGTGTGTGTGTGTGTGTGTGTGTGGGGGTGTGGGTGTGTGTGTAAGAATTGACTGAAAGTAGATAAGGTTGTGGAAAGACATGACTACCAGTGCCACACGGCATGGACTATGGAAGTTCATTTTGGTCAGAATTGACTGAAA